ACCCTGCCAGCTCCATGTGTTTGTCGGATGCTCAGAGCCTTTGTGCGCTGCACAATAAGTCAAATGGAGCACGCGTTCAATAAATATTTGCTCAGCTATTGAATGAATGCTTTAGTACTTTGCCTTGCTCTCTTCACAAGAATTTGGTTTTCTGCCCAGCTCCTCTCTGGATAGCCTAGGGGTTTATTGGCTTGTTCCCATCTTAGCCATTTTAAAAGTCTGGGTCCTGGTTGCCTGGAAAAAAGTAAAACCAACCACTGAACAGACGTGCCTGCAGTGGCCAGAAGAGAAGGTTGCTTGGGGCCTATGTACAGACAAACAAAACACAAAAACAAGCAAACACACACACACACACACACACACACACAAAGACATATTTGAGAAGAAAGAAAGGAAAGAAGAGAGGGAGGGAGGGAGGGAGGGAGGGAGGGAGGGAGGGAGGGAGAAAGGGAGAGAGCAAAAAAGAAAGGAAGGAAGGCATACAGGCAGGCAACATCTGTAGACTAAGGAGTTACATGTCTTGACATGCAAGCACCAAGTTCAATCCCGGGAAGGTACATTCAAAAACCAGGCTGGCAGTGCTGAGGCAGGAGGGGCACAAGAAGATTCCTGAGGCTCTCTGGCCGGCCAGACTGGGCTAATTAGTGAGCTCCTGGCCACTGTAAGACCTTCTTTCATAAAACAAGGCTTATGGTTCCTGGGTGAGGATAACAAAGGGTGACCCCTGGCATCCATGCGCACACATGTCTAGCCATACAAGCATATGCAGCCACGTGAACACAGGACAGAGGGCTTCTGATTAACATACAATAGCACAGGATAAAGTCCAAGTCCAAGTGTAAGGAGCCATGAACGTGAACTTGCTTGTGTCCCCACAAGATCTGATCTATTTTTAAGTGTTTGTTGCCGCTGATACACACTTGCTCAAGCCATTCTCAGTTCTATTTTATTTTAATGCAATTGTTTGAAGTTTATCCCAAGGGGAAAACATAGCACAATTCTTCCTACATGTACATCTATAATAATATATCTTTTGTGTGTGTGTGTGTGTGTGTGTGTGTGTGTGTGTGCAGGTCAAGTGTCTGGGTTCTTTTTACATTTGCAGACACTGAATTAACCATCGGGTGGCAATTAGTAATACTGTGGATATATGAAAAGCAGAGCCAATTTTTCCTTTGCTGTCTTGAAAATATAGCCAGTAACACTGGCCCAGCAGATGCTATTACCATTATTTTTAAACTTGATCCAATTTTTAAGTCTTTTAACGCAGGTGACTTCTGTACTCGTTCCCTCTTATTGCTCTTTTCTTGGAATAATTGCTTAGTATTACTCTGTAATTTATTATAAAAGTAAACCTTATAGGCATAATTGTGAGCGGAACCACGGTCATGGTGCCCATGCAGTGTTACACTAAGTTGGCACACCCACACTCTCATGTTATGAAAGAGCTAAGATCTTTCATTAAACCATCACCAAATCTTGTGTAGCACGGTGTGCTGGGTTAATACTGGGAAATAACACATGAGCAGAGTGTTCCCTCACGACAGGGGTTCACATTTCAGACCCAGCTCTATGCCAGCAGCTCGGAGTACTCAGACGGATGAATGAATTAATGGCACAGCCATTGCCTTGAGGAACACGAGAGTCCAGGAGGAGAAAGGTTTAACGCAGGTGTAATATATCAGAAAGGCTTCACAGAATCAACTTTTGGGTCCATGGGAAAAAGGGTGGTCAGATCTAATTTAAAGATACAGGAATAGAAATGCCAGAGAAGTCTCCATAGGTAGAAGCTGAGCCTTAGGAGTACAAAGGCTGAGGGAGGATCAAGGGAGGAAGGAGCGTTTTTGACTCAAATCACAAGAATAAGTGCATGCAGAATAGAGTCCCAGTGCCTTTATCAATGGCTTCTCAGTCAGCCCCCATGTCAGCCACATTCAGAGAGTCTGGTTTGATCACATGCTTGTTCAGTCCCAGTCCACCTGGATTTGGTGAGCTCCCATTAGAACAGGCATACTGTCTCAGTGGGTGGACCAATCCCTCGCAGTCCTGACTTCCTTGCTCATCTTCTCCCTCCTTCTGCTCTTCAACCTGACCTTGGGAGCTCAGTCCAGTGCTCTGATGTGGGTCTCTGTCTCTATCTCCATCCATCGCTGGACAAAAGGTTCTATGGTGATATTCGAGATATTCATCAGTGTGATAGTGGGGCAAGGACAGTTCAGGCACCCTCTCCTCTGCTGTCCAAGGACCTAGCAGGGGACATCTCCGTGGACATCTGGGATCCCCTCTAGAGCCAAGTCTCTTGCCAAACCTAAAATGGTTCCCTTAATGAAGATATCTTCTTCCCTGCTCCCTCATCCAACCTTCCTCCATCTTCACCCCCCCACTCCCCCAAGCTCTCCCCAATCCATCCCGTCTCCCTTCTCTCTCCTCCTCTCCTCTTCCCCCCACTCCACCCCCACCCCGATGCTCCCAACTTTTGCCTGGTGATCTTGTCTATTTCCAATTTCCAGGAGGATCTATATATGTTTTTCTTTGGGTTCACCTTATTATTTGGCTTCTCTAGGCTTGTGAACTATAGGCTCAATGTCCTTTGTTTATGACTGGAGTCCACTAATGAGTGAGTACATACCATATTCACCTTTTTGGGTCTGGGTTATCTCACTCAGGATAGTGTTTTCTATTTCCATCCATTTGCATGCCTTTTCAAGTGGGTGCCTAGAATGCGAATTCAGGTCCTTAGGTCTTGATGCAGGCAATTTACCAAGCTAGCTCTTGGATTGTGGCTTATACAAATGGTGCTGGACATTAACAATGCAGTTATTAATCTGAAATTTAGCATACATTTCCTAGGAGAGATGAAAAGGAGAAAACTGTGTGGAGTAGGACACTCGAATAATCCTTTATCCTGTTGTCTGGGTTTCTCCTTTTTCAAAAGTACTCAGAATGCATTTTATGGTTCTTTTGTATCCATCTTGGGAAAGAGTTAAACTCAGGACTGGAAGACATTTATAGTTTGCTAGGTCCTTCACAGCAAAAAAGACTGTGGGACTTAGTCTTCCCCCAGAGAAGAACTTTCAAGGTGGTTTCCAAACACCCAATGGTCAACTTGAACTCACATTTATACAGGAAACATTATACAGACTGAGCAGGCTTTATTTATGTACTTTATGTATTTAGGAATATGTATGTGTGTTTGTATGTGTATATATGCGTGTTTGTGGTGTCATAGACTATATGTGTAACTGTTTTAAAAACTCATGAAATAGAGAGAGAGCAAGGGGAGTATATGGGAGGCTAGGAAGAAGGAAAGGACAGGGGAAATGATATCGAATTATATTTCGATTTTAATAAAAAGATTTAATAAAAATTAGAAGTTCATATTCTCACTTGTTCCACAACCAAGAGTCTAAGCTAAGAATGTTGACAGGATTGGCATTTTCTGAAGTCTACTTCCTTGACATACAGATAATAGCTTCTTTATTTATCTTTACATATACATTGGTTATATTTCTCCAGAGATACAGGATGTGTGTGAACATATGTATGTCCAAATAATACATCTTTTATGTGCTTATAGATAGATATTTTGCATGTGTATTGGATATAGTAGTTAGATGGCTAGACAGATGGAGATAGATACATAGATTAGATAGATAGATAGATAGATACATAGATAGATACATAGATAAATAGATAGATACATAGATAGATAGATAGATACATAGACAGATGATAGATAGATACATAGATAGATAGATAGACAGATGATAGATAGATAGACAGATAGATAGATAGATAGATAGATGATAGATAGATAGATAGATACATAGATAGATAGATTTTTAGGAATTGACTTACATACTGTGAAGGCTATGGAAATGAAAAATGTACAAAGCAGACACTCAAGAAAGAGTCATAGCTGAGTCTAAAGAAATCTGCTGACTGAATACTTCCTTGCCAAAAGGAATGTCTTCCTTCTAATACAGATTTTTTTTAGCTGACTAGATGATGTCCACCCACCCTGGGAAAGCAATCTGCTTATTCAAAACCCACTGATTTAAAAGTTAATCTCATCCAAGGGCATGCTCACAGAAACATCCAGAATGTTTGTTTAAGGGTCTAAGTAGCAAAGCTTGAGCAAATCGATATACAAAACTAAATACTTCATCTCTGCTTTTCTCTGTAGCTATTTCAGTTCAAATTCCTCTTGATTGGAGACCAGTCATGTTTGATCAGAATCCTCTACAGTGACTTCATTTTAAGACCCTGCTTCTCAATACAGTCACGTACCAAAGTCCTGGGGGTTAGGACCTGAGCAAATGAATGTTTAGGGATCATAAATCTGCCCCAAATTGCATTAATTTCAAAGTAAACTGAAAGGCAATTCAGTGCAGAAAATGTTCTTCCTGTTACTAGAAATGTATTTTTAATATAATCTTGGAGTGATGTATTTGCAAGCACCCAGATCAGCCACTAAACCAAACTAGAATGCCATTTTATATATTTTTCTTTTCTTACATTTCTCCGGGCAAGAGGTCAATTTTATTTTACCATGCCAATGTCATCTATATTATTAAACAATATTGATTAGTTTTAAGGAAAAAATATTTTTTTCTGGATCTTCATTTTTCATTATGTACTTTTTATTTGAAATTAGAGGACAATAGGTAATGTAATTTTAACTTGAATGATGAAATCATTTGAAGTCACTATTGAAAACAAATTTTCTGCTCCCCTCCATCTGAGCAATATAAGAACTAAGCAGTGGGGAAAAGAGAAATGCACAGTGGGAAGTTACTGGAGAAAAGATAGTGGTAAATTAACAAGTGATTATAAAATGAATTTGAAACCACACAGTCACTAGTTCTCTCATGCCTTAAGTAAAATCTGGCAATATACTGTCTTTTTAAAATCAGTCTCTTGGTTTCTCAAACTCAGTTTCCCAAGGGGTCAAATGTGTCGCTGTGTCTGGTGCTAATGATCTCGTTTCTTCCTTTCAGATAGGAAAGAGCTGTTTCTCTCCAAAGTTGTTCACAAGTCCTTCATCGAGGTTAATGAAGAAGGGTCAGAAGCAGCTGCAGCCTCCGGTAACACTGAGTCATTTTCCAAACTCTTCTTCCAAATTTCTCTTTTTAAACAATCCTGGGTGGGAATGGAGATCCCTTTCTGAAACCAGACCAAAACCCTCACTCGATGCCAAGTCAGAAGTCAAGCAAAAGCTCCAGCAGTCGGAACATTTTCACAGACTGGGAAGTGTGGCATAGGTCCATGCCTACCTTCCCAGTGAAAGTTCTAAGAGACGACCTCCCTGCTGTGTTGTTTCCACAAATATTTTCAGGAGCCGCCTACTGTGTATTCAAACATTTTTCCTTCCTGATTACTACTGGAAGTTAGTTATTAATTTTTGCCTGTGGAAAGTTGGCATTGATAAATTACGTACACAAACAAGACTTGGTAGACATAAAAATGCTTTTAAGGACTTTTAAATAATGATGATCATAAGATAATAATTTTAAATGAGCACATTTTTCAAGGAACATATATTCCATTTCCAGATTGTACCAGCTAATGGTCCTTCGTCATGCTTGTGTATGATGAACACAAGTTCAGGTGTGGAGCCATGTAAGCGTGTACGTTTGTATGGGGTGTTTGTAAAGCAGAGGTATCCATCAGGATACCTCTCTTCATCTTATTTTCTTGAAAGCTTTTGCTCCTGAATCTGGAGCTTACCAATTCCGTTAGACTAAACGAACAAGTCTCAGAGAGCCGTTGTACTTCCTCAGCAGTGTAATTAAAATGTAGCCCAGTCTGCTACGCCTGAGTTTTTACACAAACGCAAAGGATCTGAGCTCAGATCTTCACGGTTGTGGGGCGGGAACATTGCTGACTGAACCTTCTCCCCAGTCCCACCCTGGATCATTTTGTTGGTTGTGATTGCCCTAGATAACCAAGAATGACTTTACCATTGCATTTCCTGCATCTTCTTGCTACCTTAGGATTGCTTCTCTCGCATGTTGAGCAGATAAGATCAAATTTAATAAACTTCTGCTACCTGGTAATATATTAGCTTACTGATATGTATTGCTTCGGACCTCATCAGTGATAACAGGACTTTCAAGAGAAAAAGGAAATATTCTTAGGTTATCAAAGCTGATTAAAATTTCCAGATTATAACATAGCTAAGCAGGCAGTAGCAAATAAGGATACTCTGCTCAGTGCTGGGTTTTCGTTCTATTCCATCCTGATCATTACTGGAACCCCACAGAACTGCGAAGTATCAGAAATAACTTGAAAGTATGAAAAACGCCTTTCACTTTGACAATTCTTTCTTCCTTTTATCCCTTCCCTGACCTGAAAAGGCAGTTTGATTAAAACAGCAATATTTGTCTTAGACTAAGGAAAACATTTTTATAACAGGCCGAGTAAATCAGCCTACTATTTTTAATGGTTTAGCAGGGAGAAATAACTTGCATATGTGTTGCAGTTGTGTGTTTTCTTTAAAATATTGACTATAAATAATAGCACCATGAAAACATCTCTGTTTTCAAGCCCCTGTTTTCTGTAGATTATTACTTTTTCATTAAATGACTAGATATTGATTGTTTTGAAAAATTCTCGTGAATCTTGAGCCTCTGCACATCCACAGACATGTAATTCCTTTCTCTCTGTGCCATAGGAATGATTGCAATTAGCAGGATGGCTGTGCTGTACCCGCAGGTTATTGTCGACCATCCGTTTTTATTTCTTATCAGGAACAGGAAAGCTGGTGAGTGTGTTATGTGACTATGTTATTTTGTAAGACACAAAGAAGTTTTCTGTTTTAAACGATATATATATTTAAGATTGATTCTAATTTTCTTATGATTTTAAAAATCAAAATAGTGTATTTTTTTATTTTTCGAACATTGCTAGTTGTAAGCAAGCAGGAAACATGTATCCTGTTGTTTTGTTCACTCTCCTCTTTCGTTCACTTCCAAACCAATGCAGGTACCATCTTATTCATGGGACGAGTCATGCACCCTGAAACCATGAACACAAGTGGACATGATTTCGAGGAACTTTAAATGATGATATTTGAACAAAAGTAAATCAGTAGTAAAGCACATTATGTTTGCAATTGGTATATATTTAAGATCTTTGTTTTATGGTATTATTTAAGATAATACTTAAACTAGTTCTGGATAGAAGTAATACATGTGTCCTGTAAGGCAGCCTGTCAAGAAACTTTATCAGAATTAAAATTACGGTTCTGTTGTGTAACAGTGTCTGTTGTGATGTTGTTAGAAATAAAAGTCTATACTGAACTTGTGAACGACCTTTTCATTTTGGAGGTAGTTGTAGTCTGCACACCACTATAGCTGAGACTTGGAAACTCTGCTGTTTCTTTAGGAATTGGAGTAAAGTAATTCTACAATGCAAAATGTAGAAACTGCTGTCTCTGCGTTTCTTCCTGATCATGCAGAATCAACACCAAAGTGAGCAAATTTATGTATTTAATAAGCAATAATGTGAAGTGGAGGCAAGTAAGCCACAAGCATTGGGACTGTCATTTACTGTAAGGCTCCATGACAAAACTTTTAGGAAAAAAAGTTGGGATATGTAAAGCCTATAGGTGTTACTGATTTGTGTGTATACTGTAGTTTATGCTTTTAAAGTCATTAAAGTATTCCTGCTGTATTTGCTTTTAAAAGTTTTATGTGAATCTATAGACCACATGACTCTAGACACAACCTCAAACATCTTATTACGTACTCTCAGTGGCATCAAGAGCGCCTCCCCCCCACACACACATGAAGGGATTGTCTTGTACCATTTAAGTGATTTTTTTTTCATAGTCACACAAAGATGAAATCACCCAGTGGCACATTTCCTAGAATATATCCAAGTAATCAAGTGGTACCTTGATGTACCAGCTGCCTAGATGTTTTTACTTTATGGAAAAATCATTGGTCAGTATATCATAAGGAATCAATGCTTCTCAACTGTAGTGTATGATGCTGTCACCAGGTCACTTGTTACAAATACAGGTTCTTATCCAGGATGTCTAAGGCAGAGTGGGGAACCGTACCTTTCTCTTTTTAAAATATTTTTCTTTAAAAGTCTTTCTTTCATTTGCATATCAACCACAGTTCCCCCTCCCTTTGCTCCCCTCACTCTCCCCACTTACCCACCAACCCAACCACCCATCCACTCCTCAGAAAGGGTAAGACTTCCCATGGGGAGTCTGCATATAAACCCTCCTCCTTTTCTTTGACTGGACTCAGCCCAGTGCTTAGTTGTGGGTCTTTGCATCTTCTTCCACCCATTGCTGGATGAAGGTTCTAGAACAACAATTAGGGTGAGACCACACCTTTCTAACAAGCTTCCAAATGATGCCACAGGTGTTTGACCATAGGCTTTGCTATTTGTCACTTGGGGAACAAAATTCTACTTAATGTAAGCATCACATGCTTGCTACTCATATAAATCAGGGGGAAAACTCTCATTTTCACTGACTGAACTTAGAGGGAATCAGAGTAGGGACAGAAATGTAATCTGCATTAATAATACAATGCCCTTGTCAAGAACTGATATAACTTTAAATGTTTTTTCTAGTACACATTATAGATAAATGTGAGATTCTTCTGTATATTACAACACTTGAAGTAGTTTTTAAAAATATGGAGACATTTATAGGCCATACCCATGGAAGAATTTATGAATATCCAAGGACAGAGTACTTAACACTGAATCTTTTACAGTTTATATTTTCAGAAGACTAGCTGTTTATTCATAAATCTTTATGTTACTGTAAAATAGAGCACTTGTTTTCATTTGTAATTTATTTAGCTAAGATGGCTGATGTTGACTCAGTGTTCACATTCTGCACCCAGACAGTATTTATCACTGTATTCTTCTTGTGAATATTGCACACATGGCTATACCTGTATGTTCATCAATTAACTGAATGTATTGCCTGTAAGGAAGAATAAAAATCATTATGCAATCATGTGATTCGATGAAGTCTCAAATGCTTTTTTTACCAACAGATATATGATTAAGTTCTACTACTTGGCATAGTTATCTTAAAATATTTCAATATAAGTTAGGTGTTATTTAATTAAAAATGAATGTTCCCATGCTGATGGAAAGCTTAGAGATAATACTTTATAATACCAAGATTTTCTTTTTATTAATTTAGCATTTGTGTGTGTGTTTGTGTGTGTGTGTGTGTGTTTACCAGAGCACACGCATTCATATGCCACAATTTGTACGTGAAGGACAGAGGACAAATTTGGAGAACCGGTTGCCTCTTTGCACCTTGGGATCCCAGAATCACACTTGACCTCGCAGGATTGTGCAAGAAGGGCTTGTATTCACTGGGCCGTCTTAGTGGTCCTCAGTGTTTACAGTTGTCCTCACATTGCTTGTAATTTCGATAGTTTTCTTTCTCTTGTAAAAGTAACAATACACAGTTCCTAGTTGTTTCATTCTGAGTATTTTGACACTAAGTGAAATTCTTATTTTACCTATTTGTGTGGATGCAACAGACTGAACTACATAGTTATAGACAATATTATCCTACAATCCTACATACTTTAATATCACCATTAGGACCAAACAAATATTAATGTAAGTATGAGATAAACTAGATCTATCCTTATTTGAATACCAAGAATATCCATTTTATAAGAACACTAAAAATAAAAGTAAAATACAGTAGAGAACATACTTTATTCTCATTAAATATGCATGTTATACATAATACAATTCACTGCTTTTTGATATATAATCAGTTTCTTGAATTTTTAATGGTAGTAGTTTTTCTTATCTGAAAACTTGTCTTATTTTTCTCTAAAGCAAGAGCATAGTGATAACATTTCACTAATTAGGTGAAGGCAAGTTAAACCAGTTGAAACTTATCTTTGTGAAGTAAGGTCTTTGCTGCAATCTTGAGCAAAGATAAAATACAATTTCAAAAGTAAAAGAAATAATAGGAAAAATACAGTTGGTGAAACTCTGCAGCTTTGCCTTACTCTCTGAACCTCATGACATCATGGTCCATTATAAAAGGAATCTTCTAAAGACAGACACAAAACAAGATTCTTTAGCTATATGATTAATTTGAAGAATGTCCTAAGCTAGAGACTCAATGAGACATTCTACCAAGGTCTCAGGGATGTTGTTAGCTTGCAGGAAGCCTGAATGGCCAGTTAGTATTGTTGTGCACATTAAAAATTGCTTATAAGATATACATAGAAATAATATTATGAAGACCGAGTGTGTTGTGCTTAGGAATATATATGTATATACAAATACACATATTCATCCAATGGGAATTAATGAGAAAAAAAGACAAGAATTTGAAAGAGAGAAAGGAAAGTTATATAGAAGGGTTTGGAGGGAGGAGAGGAAAGGAAAAAAATTGAGTAATTATAATCTCAAAAAATTATTGGAATGAACTCAAGATAAATCTTTAGTTAGCTGCGTATCTCAGTATATATCTCAGTGTATGTGACTTTGTATGTGTGTCCCAGTATGTGTGTCTTTGTGAATCTCTATATATGTGTCTCAGTGTCTGTTTCTTATTGTGAGGGTGTATCTTTGTATGTGTGTATGTGTATGTATCTGTATGTGTGTGTATTTGTATCTCTCTCTGTGTGTATGTATGTGTGTATCTGTATCACAGTGAATGTATGTATTTGTGTGTGTATCTGTAACTGTATCTG